CAACATCCTCACAGTAATGTCCACAAGCACACGATGGGTTATCAACAATCTTAACACGGAACAAATCACTTTTCAAAGAGCTGCACTGATGTCTGAGTCTCGTGTGTAATATATTTAGCTTACGTTCGCCAAAATTATAATAAGATGGAGGACAAGAATTAGCGTCATTAGATAAAGAAGATTTAAAAGCATTCAAAGATGGTAATGTTCTTATTGAATTGTCTAGCGAATTCCACAGACGTAGACTTGATGGCAGAAAAGAAGAGTTACTTAGGGAGAGTCTGAAAGAAGGAATGATATAATCATGTTGGTTCCGTAAATTATACTGATTGTTGTAACCCACTGTGTTTGGCAAAAGGGCCGATAAATAAGAAGGGGTTAAATTATTTATCATTTTGTATAAGACATTTAACTTACGTGTCTTCCTTCTCTCTGATAATGTTTCCAATCCCGTTTCAAAATATAGTGATTCATTACTAGCATACAAAGGTAAACCTGTTATAACTCGTTTTGTTTTGTTTAGTTGACAAGAATTTGTGAAACCGTAAATATTATACAATACATCAGTAAGTTTATATCAAAGTATATTCCACGGATTGTACACAAGTTAACAGCATCTTCCAACGGAAAAAATATTTGATAAAGTGTAAAAAAATGAAACTAAATTTAAAACTTACCATACGGCTGTTTTCGCAGTAGGACTCGTCAGTGATACTGAGGACTTTAAATGGCCAAATTTAAGAAGCGACTCGCAAGAGTGAAAATTGGCCGAAATGAACCCATAATCAAAAGGAAATCGTAAATTTAAATACAGAGCGTTTCCAAATTAAGATTTAATTTGATGGTTAGATTATCGGATTCTAAGTTTAAACATTTTTAAAAGAATGAAAATGTGGGAGTAATGATTAATAGCGTTACCAAATCAAAATATTACGCAATGACCATGTCAATGGCTGCAAATTAACTCGGGTTTAGGCCTACAGATCGAAATAAGGAGATTTAAGAAATCAGTGAATATAAACACGTTGTACGACTGTGACATCGAAGCCGATTGGTTTTATTTCCTATTAAATGGTGTTATGCTTACAAAGATTTACGAGATAAATATATAAAAGGGAGAGATGGTGAGGGAATTCTATTAGGATACGTTTAAATTCATGTTTAAGTTTCAACTAAAAAATGACACAACTAATTTTCATCTAAAAATTATATATTTGTAAAGAAGAAATGTTAAATTTACTGATCAGAGGCAAACAGTTTAGAATTTTTATCTACAAATGAGATATTAATATTTTTTCTGAAATGCCGATATGTAACCTATGGTTAAAAAATCGTTCACTAGGAGCAAGAAATCAGCGCATTCGCGATTCGATATGTCCCTCAATTGCTAGTTGACATGGCTGTGCCCATGAGAAGGATATATGTGTCTAATAGACCTGAAATACATACGAAAGAACTCTCGGTTGCTCCTTTAATTTGGTGAGAAAAGCGAAAGTAAAACTGCCGGAAAAATTCCCAGTATTCAGGTATTTCTGCCTTCCCATGATGCCCCACGCTCCTCTTGCCATCACTACCGATGGCCAAAAATCTAATACGTCTAATGGACAAACCACTAGATACAAGCGCGTAGGTACAGACAATACTTTATCGCGTATAAAGGCCTGATACAATGTATTACTCTTACGTTAGACTTACGCAAGTCACATTTTACAGCAGGAAAAAAATAACTTTTGATATATTGGTGTAGGAGATACCAACAACACAGAGAGAACAAAATAACAAAGGATGTATAAGGTACGTCCATTAGACGATTAGAAACAATAACTAAGGATAATATTACTTTACCATTTTTATTAACTTAGTATTTCAGTCATAAAAATGTAGAATTTTCATATCTAAAATAGGCGAATTTGCGCCCTGCTTGTTTTTTAGTTGATATGATAATACTCCAAGGTCTAGACGTTTCTGTAATATATGTTTACGTTTCTTTTCTTGTAAATTCTTGAATTAATACATATAAGATCTAAGGTGAAAAAACATAAAAATTACTATTGGAAAAAAATCATTGTGAAGGCGGTGTCAGACTCTGTGGAAATATATACCTGAAGGTAATCAATTAAAAAATAAATTAACCAATTGCATAATATAATGTGCATCTTATTCTCTATGTCTTTTGTATATGCTGTGTTGTAAATTCTGATCTCACCATACTACCCTACCTGATCTACTCATATAGCGATCACTGATAATTGATCAGTTAGCTGGCGACCGCGCGACTCAGGCTGATTCCTCAGTCGTACTGAACTTTAAATTTATTATTTGACCTTTTCTTCAAATCTACACTGAGTGGTATTCATATCTGAACTTCTCCTATACGAAAAAAATAGATAACAAAGCATCCTTATCTATCTATATGTCATTTGATATAACACGAGAAATAGGATAAAGTAGTCGATAAATATTGGATTTGAGTGGGTAACATTCCGATCCATTAGACGTATGAGATATTCGGGAATCGTTTGTGTTGCGTTAATTGGCCTCTTCAGAACAAACACGTACATAACAGAGATAGAGACTACAATCAGTCTCCTACAGGTACGTAATCTTTAAAAGGTTTCTTATTGTGTGTGTGTGTATATATATATATATATATATATAAACCATTTTCTTGTCATTTTCTGTATTTTTCATGTATATAATATAAAGCAATATGAAAACACAAACGAATAAGGTATAGTATTGTCATTCTTTTCATGGTTGTCATGTGCATTGTCTAATTGTTGTTTTGAAAATCAGTAGTAATATCTTTGTTTATGATACATTCCTTAAAACACCTTCGGATATAAAAATCTTGAGAGACATTTTTTTTGCAATTTGTGCAGTATTATTGGTTCGATATGAGAATTTATGGAGTACAAAAAGGAACTCCGCCCTCGGTCGATCTTTATTTTTGTACTCAATAAATTCTCATATTGAACTAATAATAGTGCAATAGTTGTTTTCTTACATTTCATTTGAATTTTGTAAAGTGAAACAAAATGCTTCGTGCTAGCTTCCTCTTTGACATCTAAAATTACAAATTATGGGCGCTGAAAAAATATTTTTGATTGGTTAAAAACATGCGTGACGTAAAGAAAATTCACCTTTATTAAATTGAGCAAAGCGGTGCAATAATCCGGTTTACAGTGCAATATCAATTAAAATCGTAGAACGCGTGACCGTGTCTCGACAAATGTAAAGTAAAAAGAAAATGTGATAAAAGTTAATATTTACTTTTTTGCATTGAACTCAAATATGGACGGCTGCCAGCACTATACACATCTGTATTATGATGCGTCATATCTATTTTTAATATTCTGATATTACAGGAAATGAAACGAAAATGTTCGGCTGATATGGGTGGTATATATACACTTTTTGTAAACGAGATAGACAGAAGACATTTCTGAAAACGCTTAAAGATCGGGGACATATTGTTTTGTACTGCCTGTTCATCTGTTGTCAACTTTAGCCTTGCCCATAACTACCTGCCCGTATGATGATGCGTCATATCTATTTTTAATATTCTGATATTACAGGAAATGAAACGAAAATGTTCGGCTGATATGGGTGGCATATATACACTTTTTGTAAACGAGATAGACAGAAGACATTTCTGAAAACGCTTAAAGATCGGGGACATATTGTTTTGTACTGCCTGTTCATCTGTTGTCAACTTTAGCCTTGCCCATAACTACCTGCCCGTAAGAGGAATGGCCTTAAGTGTTTCACATAGTGTGCATGCAATATAATTGGCACACTTTTTACACAGTACAGTTTAAATGTTAAACAGAATCATATTGCAACCGGGGCATAGTGTGTGTTAAACAATTAGTATAGCAAGTTCTACATGACTTAATGGTATGGAAAACATCTTTAAACCAAATTTGATAGTGGATCTTTACCGACATCTCTAACTTTATATCTTGATGATAACCAAATTAATAAACGATAAGGTGTTATTTTGATCAAATATTGAACACACTACATAATTCAAAGGACAAAATAATAATAAAAAAAAACAGCCTGTTTATTGCATCATGCTCGATTTGTAATAGGGCGAAATTGTGTGACGGAGATACTGCTTTGCCACTGGTTAGATAATGTTTACTTAAGATTCATTTTCTATTTACATCTCCAAAATATACATCTAATATGTACAAAACGCCCATGTCTCGTCCACGTCTATATGATTGTGATCACACCTTTACTCTCCCGTGTCTATACCACGACTCTAACACACCTTTACGCTCCCGTGTCTATACCACGACTCTATGATTGTGATCACACCTTTACTCTCCCGTGTCTATACCACGACTCTAAGATTGTGATCACACCTTTACTCTCCCGTGTCTATACCACGACTCTAACACACCTTTACTCTCCCGTGTCTATACCACGACTCTATGATTGTGATCACACCTTTACTCTCCCGTGTCTATACCACGACTCTAAGATTGTGATCACACCTTTACTCTCCCGTGTCTATACCACGACTCTAAGATTGTGATCACATCTTTACTTTCCGGTATCTTTACCACCACTCCTCTCTCAGAACTCTTATCAACCTTTCATTTTCTCGTTCACCTCCACGACCTCACATCATACTCTGTTCCCACGACCCTGTTTACCATCCATAATAACTCTCTCTCTTTCTAATTTTCTATTAATTTACTGTCCACCTCACCAATCAAGTCACTTTACTTTCTAAATAATCACCTTGCTAATCTTTTTTAAGCAACCACCTCACATCGCTGTACACTCTCTGATTTACACAGCTGACGCTGCTCTCTTATCAGCAAATTAGTCGGATTCATCGGACGCTCTTTCAGTCTCTCTGCCTAAATGTATTTCCCCCTACTCTTAAAGATAACACTCGTCCACAATTGTCCATATTATGACATCACTGTCTTTACGTTTCGTATTGGTGGTTCTTTCGCTGTTTCAGATTGATATAGAAAATGAATGTTATGCGCCTTGCGACCCGTGGAGCTCGACCTGTTATTTTGGGATGTCGCTCCTACCAACCACAGTCTAGTGGGAACAGCACGCAGTGGCAACGTCAAGAACCAACAAGAGGTAATGGCGAGCTTAACACATAGATAGTGTCAACGGGAAGAAGAAGCCTTATTGATTCTAGCTAGGCCACCTATATTTCTATCTGTGCCTTAGTATAGAAGTATTCAGATATCCAGTCTATATATCATCATCATCGTCGTCGTCGTCGTCTTTATGAAAATCTGGTTTCACGTAAATCGTAATGTCCTAGTCACCACTTGTATATCTGGACTAGAAGGAGCGCTTTGTATTAATTACTAAATTGTTCGAACTTACACTCGCGAAAGTCAGCAGATGTATTTATTTTGGGAAATGAATTCATATCTACTCTAAGCTTGTTCCCCCTCCCCCTCCCCTCATCCATGTATAATATATATAGATATATAAATGCCATATTGTTGAATAAAATACTAAAATAATGTTTAATCGGACGGTTTCGTCCTTTTTCGGACTCTACAGTGACTTTATTTGTTATGACTGATATGTATTTCAAAATTAGATTTCAGCACCGGAAATGTATACCTGGACGTGACCATTGTCGTAGGATCTGGAATAGGGGCAGCGTCATCGATTCCTACCGTTCTCAGTGTCGCTGGGTTTACTGAGGCGGGAATAGCTGCAGCATCTCTGGGCGCAAATTTGATGTCCGTGTCAGCAATATACAATGGCGGCGGAGTGGCGGCAGGAGGTATTGTGGCAGGTCTGCAGTCTGCAGGTGTTTTGGGCACCAGTGCTTCGACCCAAGCAGTTGTAGCTCTGGGAGTATCAGCAGTCACTGCGATCACTGGATATTTCTTTTAGATTGGAGGTTATAAATACTGACGTAGGACTGTCTTGAGTGCCATATTTTTCAACAATTTTCGGAAATGAATAAACTTCAATAAAGATACTACATGTACATGTTTTTTTTCCCTTTATCATTTCTTTAAGTTTGTTTCAAATAAAATTACAAACTATTTTGATAAAAAAAATTGCCCCGTTATCCACTAAGTCGAGTGAAATCTATATGGGGCCGCAATAGCACAGTCGATCAGATCGGTAGCCGATACAACCTAAGGTGAAGGTCAAGGAAATGTGGTTGACACTTCCACTCCGTGGTGGTTTGTGTTGAAGTTTAGAAGCGGCCGGTGTTGACGTGGTTATGGCCTTTGACATCTCATTGCCAGCTGTTCACGGAGCAATATTTAAAATAAAATAAACAAATGGATCTTAGCAAGTAAACATGATTTTTTTCGACATAATGAATGAATTTACAAAGTAATTGAACGCATACGACAAGCCATACATGATTCGTAGTTGCGTTATAGTCACAAAAATAAAACACGCCATTGGGTGAAGCCACCTTAATGTTGCTATGGATTGAACAGTGACGTCATAACTAGAACAACTTCTCTTCATTATCGTCAATAACAATTCATATCGCCTAACCACAAACACAGAGACAAGTAACGATGATGAAATGACTAGTACATTTGTATACTACATGTATAAGTCCCTCTCACAGAAACACAGGGATATGTAACAATGTTTCTGTTGGAGTATGGGGTCTCTCTGGATATGTAACAAGTATGATATAATTAGTATGTCTCTCTACCGTGACAATGTTTCTCTCTGACAAGTCTCTCTCACAGAAACACAGGGATATGTAACAATGTTTCTGTTGGAGGGGGTGGTGTAGTATAATATAATTAGTATGTACCGTGACAAGTCTCTCTCACAGAAACACAGGGATATGTAACAATGTTTCTGTTGGAGGGGGTGGTGTAGTATAATATAATTAGTATGTAACGTGACAAGTCTCTCTCACAGAAACACAGGGATATAAAATAACGTTTCTTTGTGAGAGGAATGGTGTAGTATACTTAGTATAAATGTATACAAATACTTCCCCAGAAACACCTGTTCCTGTAACACAACTAAAGTATTAAACGATTTATGGCCAGGTGGGTTTGTCTGTTTCAATGCAAATTATACTACCATAACACGATTATTATGCTTTGCTCATTACAAACTCCCATCCCTTCACTTCTCCTCCTCCCACCCCCTCCCAACACTTTGCCCCGTTTTTCATCATTATTATCACAAGCTAACCATTAAGAAGCATTTACACATTTATGCATTTAAAATGCAGCTTTGTCTTACAAATGATAATTTTAAGGTGTCCTAATATTGGCCATGGGGACAGGAAAACTGTCTTATCCGAGTCCTTGTTTAAAACTACACTGTATCATTAATTATTCACCGCTTGCTCCACAGTACATAGGCAACTAACCTATAGATATTCCGGTAGTAGCTTGCAACCAAGAGAAAAAGTAGCTGATAAATTTCTGGAATAATTTTCGAGTCGTTCTGAAGCTTTGCAATACCGACTCTTTCTTTTCTCACCAACTGGACATACAGGTTCGCTGACGCCAGCCTCCTAATGTTACTCTGGCCCAGCTGAGAGCAGCCCTCTTGGAAGAATGGGCCAACATCCCAATAATGAGGATAAACACTCATGATATCCATACCCAAGAAAATCAGGTCTGTTGAGAGAGGGAATGGAGGACATACCTGGAATTGACTAGCCAGCTCCCACAATCAGTCCATTTCGATTTCAGATTACAGAGTTTTCTTTCAATTCCTTTAATTACTCCTAAATCACTTACCAGATACGAATCGTTGATTTTGTAGGTTCTGTATGGATTAATCTTCATTCTTACTTTAAGACATTATACTTGACGTCTTGCCTAGAATCATCTTCAAAGTTTACCCTGTGTTTCTTTATCCCGCGAGTAAAGTAACTAAATACTGAATAATTCAGTTTGACTACATTAAGCACTAAAACATATGTAAATGATTTAAATCATTATATTGGATGATTTAACACTATCCGCTAACATATTTGTAAAACCATTATGATATAAAAGTACCTAAAATAGAATTATATCTGAAATAAAACTAGAGTATTTGAAATAAAGAGAAAAAGTATGTCATCATTGGTTAGGAAAATGTCACATTTCTGGTGATTGATAACAAATCTACTCTATTATTATCGATGAGAAATGATTAATAGCCATTTCAGTACCATTTAATTTGATTAACTTTAGGCCTTATTCACAATATGAATATTGTTTAAACATATCCTTAAATATATATGTATAAAAAGAAGTATCCATTTTTCCATTCTTCGTTGAATCTTTCTAAATAAGTCTTTCCATTTGCTGTAGCAATATATTTTTTAACCTTATGATGATCCTTAATTACAATTACCAATGCGTTTATGACAAGGGAATTCTTAAAACATCTAGAATTATAAATGTACTATTTAATGATAGTGTTAACCTCATTATCAATTTTGATATACTTGCTCTTAAATGGCCAGAAACCAAAAATAAAGGACTTTTTGTTGATAGTTAATGGGATAAGTAATGCCTTTAAGAGAATTTCTCAGTTTTGTAAACGATTCTGGACTTGTACACATTACCACAGTATTTGTCTTACAGTTTCTGTCTCATATAAAGAGAAAGTACGACTATCACCAATGTTTGCCTTATACAAAAAAAAAATTGAAAGAATAGAAAGTGATTGATTTAGAATCTTTGTACATATCATTTATTACTCTAACACCTTTTGAGAACCAATCTTTGTAGAAAAATAAGTGCCCACTAATAATCACACTTGTGTTGTACAAGAGAGGGTTTTTCAGAGGAGAGTTGTCTACCTTCAACCTTAGAATAAACCATCAATATTTTTCCCATGCTAAAAAGCATCGCTCCAAAACTTATTTTTACATTTTTCCTGACATTTTTTAAGTCATTACTTCCACAATTTACTGCAAGATCAACATTGACAATTTTTTTAAATAAAATTTTCCAAAATAGTTTTTAATTATAGGATTTCATTTTTATTTTATTAGTTTTCCCATTCCAAAAAGGTGAAAAGAATTGTGTTTTAAAAGGTTAATGAGAACAGTACATGAAATTGGAAGGGCAATAAATAAATTATTGAATTTTGAGATGAAAAGTTACTTCATAATATGTATCTTTCCAATTGGAGACAGTAATCTTCTACTCCAAGTTTTGATAAGAGATTTAAACATTATCAACATTTTGTCATAATTTCGTTTAGGAATTTCATGCAGGTTAACACTAAAATCAATCCCTAATAGAGAGAATTTATCCCTTCCCCACTGTAAATTCAGTTCTGGTAAAATAGTGTCTGTACAATGTTTCTTACTACCAATCCAAATTACCTGTGTTTTGCTAGTATCAATTTTCAGACCAGAACTATTTGCAAACAAGTTAAGCTCACTTTAGATTCACGTCAAGATTTTTCTGACCCATCGAGTATTAAAGAAGTATCGTGAGCATACTGAGACAGAAGTATTGGAAAATCACCCAAAGATGTACCATTTATATTTTTGTTTTCTCTTATTCTAATTGCAAAAATTTCCGTGTATAATATGAAGATGTAGGGTGCAATTGGGTCGCCTTGTCTGAAGAAATTAGACAAGTTTCCCTCTTGATCAATGGCCGAACTGACATTTTTGTGCAGAGATTTGACCCATTTCCTAATACACTCCCCAAAGCCAAAAAATTAAGTGTTTTGTCTATACATTTCCATGAAACTGAATCAAATGCTTGCTCAAAGTCAATCATAAGATTTACAAAATTACCTGTGGACATAGTCCTGAGGTATAGCATCGGATAGACTTTCACCAGGCACCTACCGAAAACAGAAAAGTAGAATCTCATTCCGAAAAAAATCGGGACATTAATATTAAACAGAATATTAGGTGCGATATATATTAAATGTAGCATAGGCCTACCACCTAAGGTTAGAAAACGGAAGTAACTCTGTAGTTCAATGATAATAAAGATAATAACTATAATGTATTTTTAGTTGTGTACAAACAGTAACACACGTGCGAATTAAATAAATACAAAAGTATACATTTATATATGAATGAACAGAACTTAGCCAATGCCTTAATCAAAGTTTTCTCATAATAGTCTAATCAAGTTTTTTTTTTCGTAAATAGAAAAGAAAACCCGCGACATCTCACCTACTTTATTATCAAGCCCTTTAATCCCAACATATTATGGAAAAACACATTGGCGCTCAATACGACTTAACACTTCTAAAAAATGTGTAAAGTACAGTACTTGAGGTCGAATCAAGACATACTACAGTCTGGTGACCGGGTTATATCCCCGGAAGAGTCCATCACCGGTTACACGGCCGAATCTAACACTTACATAGTTTTCTAGTCCATACTAGCTCTGGAACTCTTCAAATTTACGTCATTCAACAAGAACTCATCATTCATCTGGGTATCAAATGGAGGTCTACGCTTTCTTTAGTCCGTTAGAATCACGTATAAATTCCTGTCTGAGCTGAAAGTGTCTATAAGCCTCCTCAAGTCTTTCCTGGTTGAATTTGGTTAGGTCCTCAAAATTGTATTACCAGTTCCTTTCAAGACCTTTCTGTTCTTCAAAATCTCGTGTTTAAAAATTTCACAATAACACTGCCGTTCCTCCCATTGTGTGATGTCAATATCATTTCCGCTAAGGGGAACATTTAGTTTGAAATAAATGAGTCTCACAAGGCAGTCCTTACATTCTCCGACTCTCTATCTCTTTCTCGGATCAGTTAAACCGAAAATTCTAATCAAATTCTTCCGTTCGTGTTGCTTCAAGTCATTGAACTTTTCACACATGACTTTCTCAGACCTCTTCTGCACACCGGGTTTCTAGATTTCCAACCGTTTCTCGCAGTTCACCGTTTCAGTTTCCAATTTAAAAATTCATTCTTCTGATATGTCCAACAACTCACGATTC